AAGTACAAGAGAGCTTTGCCTTAAGCCCAGCTCTCACGGTGAAGTTCCTAGCTTCCATCAGCACAGGAGGAGCTATAATCAAACCAAAGCAAAGCGGATAAAGAAGAGACAAAATCAAGTAAATTAATTGGATCCCATTATTAAGTGCCAGCTAATACAATTTTCAATGAAAATCTCTGACCATTACTTACCCTGTACATGAATGGTAACATTTTTATCTGCAACTTTGTCTTTGTTGGTCTTATTTACACGGCAGTGATAGCGTCCTGAGTCTCGGAGGCCAACGCGAAAAATCATTAGGGTACTCAAGATGTTCTCCTTCTCAACTTCTGTTATCACTTGCCACCGCACACCGTCTGGCCTGAAGGATTAAATATAATCTTCAAATGCTTGCAAGAAAATAATGATAGTTTTCCATTCTTTCATAAAACCTTCGTCTGAAAATGCTAGCAAGTATGATCTTTTTTTTTTTACGACATTATCACTGGGGAAATAGTAATAGCTTAAAAAATTAAAACACAATTACTAGTGGATTCTTCTACAGTTTCTTTAAGTTGTTTAAGCTATATGAATCTAATTTTATATCCTGTTTTCACCATGTACAAATGCGATTATTTCCAATCATATCATATGAAACAAAGATGTTTGCTATCTCTTTTCTATGGCAAGAATCCCTACAAGAGGTTTGCTGTGTTTCAAAACAAGCCGAGTACACACACACACACAAAAAAAATGGCTTTAGCCTATTGATGCTGGGATGACATACATACATGACTTGTACCCTATAACTTTATCTCATTTTCCCAACACAGAGAGAGCTTCACAAGAGCTTCACCAAGGAGTCAATAACTAGCCAACCTGATCACCTGTTTATCCTTTTTCTTGATTTCTGGAAAGACTTTTATTTTTGACTTACCTCTATTAACATCATAAAAAACATAAATATCCCAATGTAAATATCAATAATAATAAAAGAAAAATAAATATTAACAGCTATGATATTAACTGAATTCATGAAAATATTTTTCAGTTTCCATAACCTTCCAGGATTAGAGATATCATTTGAGGTCAGGTAGGCCTACTGACTAAATCTTTGATAATTGAACACTTGTGGAGCCATCTGGGTAAATAAAATTCACAAAAAAAAGCCATAATATCCAGTGCAATTCCCCAGAACCAACGGGCTAAAAGATATCTGCAATCATACCTATGTATGACTTGTTCTTTCTTGGGATAAGATTTGTATATTATCTTATACAACAAAATACAGAACAGTGTGAAGATGTGAAGTAGGCAAGACAAAAGGGGAGGAGTAATAGTAGGACATACAACCACCCCCCCCATGTGGCATTACAGGAGTCTGGTTTCACATGCCACTAAGTACCGCTTAACCAACCCATTTTAGCACCATGCCACACCATCCTGCATAAAAATTCCTAACAGATGTAACAGGATCTGTATTCAACCTACGTGATATTGTGATGGCCATGACGCCACTGCAACAGGTCCCCTCGACCCCTGCAGCTAATTGTGATATTTGCACCAGCATGGGGCTCACTGCCGCCAACTTCCACCTTCAACTCGCGGATTCGCTGGCTCCCTGAAATTTGGAGACAAACAGGAATCAACTATTACTGTATATACACATCATACATGGCCAAACAATGAGTGAAGGGGAAGGTACAGGAAGGGATGGAAAGGGAAGAGTAAAGGAGAGGAGTCACTGAGAGTGAGTGATGAGGGGAGGGAAGAAGCAGAGGGAGGGAGCAGGGTTGAAGCTGGACAGGAGAAGAGGGTTACTCATTGACAATTTTAAACCTTAAAAACAAAAAACTACACACCTGCATTATTATCTTATATCAGTGTTACTGTTTTCCTCATATTTTTTTACCATTACAGTTATTATATAACTGCTATTATTACAGCTCTTGATTCACAGTCAGTAATGTAATTGTAGTTGATAATGTGATTTTTGCTTCAGCTGTAGTTGTAATTAATGTTGCTGCAGTTGTTTTTAAGCTGTAGTCTGTTTTTGCTATGTTTATTATTCTTCTTCATCTTTCATTTCATCTGTTACATAAGATGCTGTTGTTTTTTGTTCCTAAATGTGAAGTGAATATAATAATCAAAGACTAAAAACAAACATAAATTATTCTTAAAGCACTTGATATCGACACATCCTCTGGGAATACCCTCCATGCTTTTATGGGCTTTCCACCCTGCACTGTAAGGTGGTGGGAAGGGAGGAGGGGAGACAGCATCTGACAAATTTGCTAAGGAATATTATCATCCACATTCAGGACATATCAAAGTAATATGACAGTAGATTAACAATGAACAAGTGGAAATATTGTAATTCATAAGTTATCAGTCACATAAGGCATTTAGTCCATAATGAAGCATAAAAAGAAAAGGGAAAAAAAATTTAAACTATGATTTGTGATTGATTATATCAGCTTTAACAGGGCCTAATGACCTACATATTCATGATAAGTCAATT